AAAACAACCAAATGAAATTGGGCAGAAACTTTCAGGGGTTTCGAACACATCCAGAAAATACTCAGGATTTACAACGTCCAGAAAAGTTCTCAATTTCTATCAGGTCCTGTTGATATCGACTTTTAGCTCAGGGCATATTTGCGTCGAAATAAAACATACAGTGGTTAACGATCATTTTGCAAAAGTTTGCGTAATAATTTTCGGCATATAAAGGTTCTAAAAGTAGAACAGTACTTATATCTTTTTGCATCAAATCCTTTAAATTAGACGAACTTTCATAATTATTTCACACATTTTTCTTTACTGTATCTTGGATACTAGTTATTTTGACTTCCACTATTTAGTCGATAGTCGGCATTTAAAGATGAGATAAAAAGGAGCGAGAAAAATTGAGAATGGCAGCTGCAAGCCGATCTTGCTAATCACGTGGACGTACAGAACTAATGAAAAAATCCAAACATTTTTAGATAAAACGTGTGCAAAGACATAGTTTTGTTCAACAGGTAAAACGCCCTAGAAAATTATTGAAAATGTATGTTTCACAGAAAAACACTGTAAATAACTAATCAAGCAAATTGAAACATTTGGCAAAGTAGAAAATGCCACAATGTTCTTTTATATGACGATCGCTTAAATAATGGAACCCATCAAACCGAAATATCAAAGACCATAAAATAAATCAGCTGTTTGATCTAAATAATCTATGAAGCATATGCTAGATTTAAAAATTCTGCTATTTTGCTTCAGTTTTCTTCGGCGCCCTCAGTCTAAAGCACCAGATGCTCTTCATGCTGTGGTTGGGGGTGTTTTATAGAATCGCGCTCTTACAAAGCCACGTGCTTCAACAATAACCCTCTTAGTTCGCTCAATTAATTGTGATGAGCATGACAGCCGGCTCGTGGCCATACACACATTTTACCTTTGGGCAGCTGACTAATCATGAGTTAATGGACGTTATGTCCCAGGTGGTTTAGGGCGAATTTACGACTCATTTCAAGACTATAAATTCGGTTTTCATCGACAATATTGAAATTGGTAGTTTGGATATTTTGATGAAGAATTACAAATTAAAATTGAGTTGGTCGCATGCATCACATGAAATGGTTTATTGCTGCAACGACAAAGTGAAAAAAAAAACACGTACCGAAATTGCTTCTGTTCATAACGCGATAAAACCGTCACGATTCTACTGGGACTCAACTAATTGTTTACAACTTAATGTATGGCTAAGAAATAATTTATTGCATGATCCAAACCCAGTAATTATACATAACAACAGAGTTGAACGAGAAGTCCTAAATAACTTCGCCTTTAGTAGGAATATGTACGCGAAGTACACGCAAATATATTAGAATATTATACGGACGATATACCTAACTCGTGTATATTCCATGTCGTAAATCTTTGACAATTCCGTCCTATTCTTACTTCCTAGACACGCATTCGTGGGCAGATTGGGTCTATATGTGTCTGAAAGATTGTAAAATATCGCTTTGTTTGTTTGAAATATGTAACTGCATTTCAACAATCTGGTCTTGTTCCTTTTAGTGCCCTTTAGATCAAGGTTAAGAATGTTTTGGAATGCGTTAGCAGAATGTTAAAGGTCGACCAAGGGAACAGTCCATCAATTTCATATTCACTTCTCACTTCGCACACTTTCTACTGTGTGCTCTAATATTTCATAGGTATAATTTGTTCTGCTTTATCTCTATTATTTTCATCAATCAATCAACAGAAATTCTTTTCAGAGTTTCACCTAAAAACCCTGGTGAGGCGACAGAATATTAAACAAAAAAACATTAATTCAAATTTTCAGTTCATCACTTTAGCAGGCCAAGAGGTAAACCGAACAAACTCACTAATTGAATGAGCGCACAATTCAACAACTCACTTCACTCGGAAGTTAAGCATCGTAAGTTTCACTTCGTTCCCCTCTTCATTCGTTTGCTGCAAACAATTGAAAGCCTAATTTCGCCCTGTTGGAAGCTTTACGAGTGGCTGCCGAAATTTTTATAGCTTGTCAACCGGAAACGAACATCAAAGTGCAAACTGATCTAAATCACCGCAATTAATATACTTAGACTGTTGTGGAACAAAAAGCCTAAAAATAAAATAGGAACAAAGAGATTCTATTTACGAAAGAATGTTGGCCTTTCTTGATAATCGCCCGAAGAGTGTGGATATTTATGAACTAGCAAAATATAAATAGTATCTAACTGAAGTGATTCATACATATTGATATATGAAGTAAATGAAGTGATTAATAACGCATATATTTCACTACATGTATAAGTCGTCTGGTAATTGAGACTTCTTCTATTTTTCGGTATGGAAACCAATTGCACATTCGACTAAGTGTTTCAATTAAAATTCATAAGGAACTAGAATACTTGGGCTCAAGAAAAACGCAAAGAAAACAATTCAAAATAACATTAAAGGACACACGAAGATATTAAAAGTTGGGCTCTTGAGACATCAAAACTAAGTAATAACAAGTTTTTTCAATGAAGCTCCATTTTCACAATCAGCCAAGTATTTATTTTTGATATTAAAAAAACTATTTTAAAGACGAAACTACAAGTATCTTCTTTTGTTCCCCATACTAGCATTCCCTTGTTCCATTTCGCTATTGTCTGAAATTTCTGAAACTTTTCATATCTCGTAGACTTTGTTTTGACAAGAACACAAATAAAGGGTTTTGTTTTGAGGCGAAATTAATTAAAAACGCTGACGTTTCAAAGGAGTTTTTGTCCCGGTTTGTTAATTTGAGCATGGCACACAATTTCCCATTTTGAAGTATGAATATTTTAATCTATTTGGAAAAGTAATGCATCTTTACAGATCACGTTGGATTACGAGCAAGAAAGTCTGCAAAATATGTCGATTTTTTAATACTTATTTAAAACAGGCGCTTCTAACGAGTTTTGTAAACTTTCTAAACTATATATTTTCAAGTGAAACTCGATAACTTTCTTCAATCTTCGAAATTCAAAGCTCTTTAAAAGCAGCAATAAACATCGTCTGAGTGAAAAGTGATATTTTTCAACTCTCCCTCATGTAGATTTGAAACTATCAGCATGCTTTCCACTTTTCCGGTTTGAATCAATTGCAGCTTGAAACTTGAAAAAAATTAAGTTGACAAACTTTGGAGCATATTTTCTGAATATGTGCTCTATATTGATTTGTTTCTCTGTCCGTTTTGTTAACTAACTACAATTTCCTTGTTTTGGTTTGTTCAATACTTAACTGAATCACTCGAAACACAACATGCCGAAATTTGTAAACTATTTCTGTTCTATAACGAATTCCTTGCGCTGTCCGCTAAAGCTTTCAAAACAATTTCACAGATGTGAAGCTGTGCAAATTACATATTTATCTAGTTCGGTTTTAAGTCTGATGCTAATGGTCGGATGTTAATAAAGAAGCAGTTGCTTAATTATGCAAATAGACTCTGTCAAGTCCATCAATATAATTGTTATTTAATGTACCATTTGATCGTTAATGCGTACTGTTTATGACGATGCGCAATATTCTGCTTTTCATAAATACTAATGGACTTTATTAAGCGCTTGACCGTAAAGAAAATTGAAGTGTCTTCATTATTCATCTTGGCTATTCCATATAGGTGTTTTTCTACGAAACTGCGACCCAATTTTTTTTCCGGTGGCTGTAAAATGGCTTCCACTTCATCCTAACCTTGTTAGAGACATGATTAATTGTGCAGAAATTAATGCTATTCAGATAAATGTGCGGGCAAATGAATTAAAATCAATAGTGCACTCGAGAGCACTGGAAGCTGGAATGCCGAAATCTGGCTTAAGGCAACCGATTCGTAATTACATTCAAAGTAAATTAGTGATATGCTTCTATTTTAGCAGTGCAGTATATTTTAAGAAGTCGAGTATGTAGTCGATAAAATCTTTTGAAGTCTTTCTATTGGCTAAAAGTTAATAAATCCATTTCGTAGAAACTGGAATAATATGGTAATTCGAAAAGCTCTGAGCGTTAATTAGGAAAACTTAAATAGTTGTTTTAACTTGGAAAACACAGTTTCATAAATTCACTCGAGCTAAGTTAGTTGGAAACTCACAGCAGAGATTTACCATAGCGGGCAAGGACAGTTAAAAGACACTTAAAAGTTCGCAACTTTGATTTTTGAAATATTGGAACCTGGTGAGGAAGTGGGAAATGGGAAAACTTGCCAGTCCTTGTCCTGTGTTTTCATTTAATTAACACTCTGGAAGTAGGCAATTTCCAAAACAACGTGAAGTGGCTTTGCAAATTTACTTAGACATTTTTTTCATTGAAACATGCGCTAAGAGATTAAGGAAAGCACTAAGCAAATAAATTGATTGATAAATTATTTTAAATTATATCCTTTTGATGTGTAATTAAACGTTGGAGCAAAAGAATGGAAGCAATAATACAGTTGACTGCACCGAAACTTCGTTGTTTTTCAGCGTTTGCTGAGGAATTTTTCAACTAGGTGGGCACTTTATTTTAGCAGGAACATAATGGCCAGGTGTGTTTTTTCAACAGTTTATTACCGAAATGGACTGTTGTTTCCACATTTGCATGGAAAAATTGTCCAAGCCACAACGTTTTGCCCAAATTTGCATACGATACCGATCTAATAAATGAGAACCCTCGGTCGGGTTTTTAAATTACTCTAAGCCATTAAACGGGCATTTTATTGCAGGAATTTTACGCGAAATACTTGCTTTTGATACGAAAGGAATTGCCAAGTTAATGAGCAAATTTTGGTGCCTGAAGCCCCCTAGAATAATTCAGTCAACTACGACCCTAAATTAAGCTAAAATTGTCGAGGTAGTAGCCTAAAGATCCAGGAATGATAATTCAATTAAACCTCCATTATAATCTTTCGCAACATGAGTAGTATAAATAAAACATGGAATGCAGGAGAATTTTTACGACATACGAATAAGTGGCTCTATTTGCATATCAACGTGTGTATCTAATTCGCGTATCGCATTTTTCAGAACGAAGACGCCGGAGGAATTTCTCAAGCACCCAGTCATGCATTTCGATGTAAAACTTTCAAGAAGCCCCGGCCATGTCACTTGTGCCATCAGCCCATCATCAATGAGGGATCTTGTTGTCGTGGTAAGTGAAATCAAAAATCTTGTTCAGAATATTGCAGAAATATATTGTTTGTGTAGCTACATGTTTTATTTTTATTTTTTTATCAGCGGCTTAATTTTAATTATCAGTTCGATTCTTGTTAGTTTATATTTATAAGAGCATGTTATTGTTGTATCTGTTAGTGTTTGATTGCAGTTTCTCTACAGCGTTTGTTATTGTTGTTGTTGTGTCGTTCTTGATCAATGCAGTGTCGTCAGCGCATTGTATAATGGCGCATTTTGTTGATTTCGCTTCCCTTAAAAATGGATCTAAAAATGTTTTGGTTTTTCACGCGATATATTTTTTGCATTCCAATTAAACTGCAAACAGTAAAATATTGCAAAAATTAATGCAGTTGCAATTAATAAAGATGCACAGCTTCAAAATACAGTAAAGTCCGCTTATAGTGAACTTTCGGTTAAAACGAACTTTTTCCTTTAATTGAAACGTCGTCCATAAAGACCAACGTATTTTTTTACTGGTTATAACGAACCCGTTTATAACGAACTTCCGGATATAGCGATCACTTTTTAGGTTAGTTGTAATATTCACTTTCCGTTTATAACGAACCTCCACGCTCAGCAACACCAATCGTGCGGAGTTTTTTATATTAGTGAGAGCGAGAGACAGGCAGTGACTTGTTTTTTGCCGCGTTATGTATGTAAATCGTTTTAGAATGGAAAAACAAAAACGCAAAGCTTTTTCACTAAATGAAAAGTGCGAGATTATTAACAAAATAAAAAGTGGAGTAAAGCAGAGTGACATTTGTAAGGAATTAGCTCTTGGAAAGTCTAATGTTGCAACAATATGGAAAAACAGAGAAAACATTTTATCAGCGTATGACAAAACAAATGTTAGATGTAGGAAGTTAAAATTATCTGCTCATGAAATGGTTGACAAGGGACTTATTAAGTGGTCTACTCAAAAAACACACGAAAACGTTTCCATAAGTGGCAGTGTTTTACAACAAAATGCTAGTGAAATGGGGAGTAAAATCAAAAACAGAGAGTTTGCTTATTCTAAAAGTTGGGAAGAGCGTTTCAAGAAGAGGCATAATATCAGTAGCGGAAAAATTGTTGGAGAGCCTGCCGGTGAAAAATTCTTCTTATGAAAACGTTAGAGGCGATCGATAAGAATAAAACATTTTCTATAAATCTCTTAGATGCAGTCAATTTCATTCATAGAGCTTGGCAAAAAGTTAGCCGAAAAACCATTGCAAATTGCTTTAAGCATGGGGGATTTGTAAGAAAAGAAAATTATTATGAACCAGACGATGAAATTCCACTTAACGAATGGTTAGAAAAGTATCTCTGACTACGAGTATGACACAGACGAAGATGTCCTAATGTTATCGAAGAACAAGTTAAAACCAAATTGAGTGATTTCAATTTCTTGGAATATGTGAGCATTGATAATGAGCAAATTATAGACTCCGTGATCTCATCTACAGCTTTAAGCGATAATGAGAAAGATGACGATTTAGGTGAAACGTATTCTACTGTAAACACCAATGATGTTCCAACCATTTCTGAAATGACAAAAAAAGTGTCAGAACCTCGAAATTTTCTACAATCACGCCAAGTTCCTAATCATATCTGAGAGTCCTTTTGTGATCTTGAAAACTATGTAAATAACATCGATTTTTGCAGCAGAAATGTACAAACAAAAATTGCAGACCTTATAAAGTAGATTTCAAATTTAATTTTGTTTATCTTCTTGTGTTATTTTTAGTCATACCTACTAACTTCTACTACTCTATGTAAAAATAACGAAATAAAATACACCACGTGTTTTTGTATTATTATTCGCTTATAGCGAACTCCGGATATAACGAACCAGTTTTAGTTCATTTTTCAAGTTTGTTAAATCCGGACTCAACTGTACATTTAAATAGTTCATAAATGTTTCCAAAAAAATTAATATTTGTTTGAAACCAGTGTATTTACCATTATTTTATTAATTGTCCTTTGTTATTATATGACTATAAATCGTCGTTAATTTTATTATGAAAGGGCGTCGTATTTTTTTTGTGGGTCGAAGATAAATCTTGCAAGTCCGCCCATCTATTAGTCTCTTACATAATAACTGCTTTATTAAGGTGCATCCACCATACTGCCGGGGACTTGTTGTATCTTAATTATTCCAGAAATTTTCCATCTATTCCGTAGCTTCCACGCGTTACCAGATGTACATGAAATGCTAAGGATCTTTTGATATAAAAGAATAATTGTTTTTAAAAATAAAAGAAAACATTTGTAAAAGAAACCATAAATAAAAAACATGTATAGTTCCAGGTGCATTAAAAATCGCCAAGCTCTAGTTTTTTCCTGGGTTTGCTCTTTTGAGTTAGCACTAACCAACGGCTCTTTAGTTGCAGTGCATGGAATTTTAAATCAATTTTTACACTCTTTCCGGCCTGTTTCTGTTCCCATTGAGGAAACACAACATTTATCAAATCACACCAGCGATTTAATGGTTCTTTGGCAATTAAGGCTGCGCCTATGCCAGCTAACCCATGGGAAGTGACTGTTTAACCCAGCTTTTACCGGGTCGTGTTCATAATTTTTTTCAAATCCATATTAACTGACAGGACAAAACGCCCACGTCAATGATCTAGGATGTTATTTTAGCTCGTGCAAAAATACGGGTACTGTTGTTTGCTTTTTCGATCTGGTGTCGTGCTTATATATTGAGTAGACAAAAGCAAGTACTGAATCAGCGGGAATTATCGGTATTGTTTTAATGTGTTCCGATGTGGATCTCAAGAACAGGATGTGAAAATACCAGGCCCCAGTATCGGTTACTGTAAATATTGACCAACGTTCTTAGTTGATTTATCGTTTGTTGCATACAAACCTTGCCTTTAAAATTTTCGCACTGATTTCCATGATTTTGATCAGATAACAATGAATGAAGAAGCAAAATTTGTGGATTATCTAGCGATAAGTTTCAATATTTAATTTCGATGTTGTTTAATTAATTCCTCTGGGTTTTGAGCGATTTTTAATGTTTTTTTTTATAAATAATAGTTGGAACCAAGATTTTGTTTCCTTTAAGCAAAAATAGTGTTGAGCTCGAACAATTTCGATTCAAAGATTTGATGAGCTGGTTTCTTTATTCGCCATTGCAAAACAACGCTGTAGAATTCAAGACTTTTTTGGTTTATATTTTTCAGTCGAAATTTTTTTTCCCCAATGTGCATACGTATATGAAGTGTTCGAGGAGGAAGATATTGTCGGGTAAAGAGCGCGACCGCTAAAAAATGACTTAAAAAACTAAATTATTTCGCATCTGAAGCCACTAGAATATTTTTTAATGATCTCAATGCATTTCTCGCTTCTTTGGGATGAGAATAATACAGTTTTGAGTACGGCATTTTGAGATACTTCATATTTTTTCGAAAATTGACCTCTTAGGAAAACTACGGTCAAAATTAAAATTTTTACGTGTTTTTTGAGCGCATTGCAAATTTTTTAAAAAACGCTTAAAATGGACTGGATGGAAATTTTGAAAGGTTGCAAAATTTTTGAAAAAATCTATCCTCACCCCTTCAATCCAAAATCTAGATTTTACATGCGCTTTTTAAGCTCTGCAAATATTTCGACGTACGAAGCTTCTCTATATGCATATTAGCACGCTTGCGCCTATAATAAGGTAGATTTTGTCGCTTAAAGATCATGTCTGATCAAAAACTGCCTCAAAAATAATTACATATATGAATCTGAAATTTCTCGCGTGTTTCAATGAGCTCGTTGCATTCCTTGCTTCCTTGCGATAAAAACATGATTTTTGGGAAAACAGCTTTTTTATCTAAAAATTTTCTGCATAACTCTGTTAATATCGGGCAGATTTGATTGATTAAAAGCGATGCCATGATTTGTGTGCCTCTGGGTGCTGCGCAAATGGCTTGGTGCGTCAACCCAACGCACCGACACAGTAACTCAGTTTAAAATGTCTTCAAATTTCAGAATTTTTCAGTTTTAGCCAAGTTACTCTTTCTTCTAAATGCTCAATTTTCTAAATATTCACTTAAAAATGCTGACAATTGTAAGGTATTTTCCGCGAAAAATTATGAAAAAAATTTCAACTCCTTCGTCGTTTTGAAAAAATGTTTGTAATCCCTTTCTAGCTTCGTATTTGGAACAAAAATCAAACAATTTTCTATCAAAAAATGAACAGAAAAAGCGAAAGTTTATAACAGATGATTTGGAAATCTCGTCACTCGTCAAATTTGTTAAAAAATGTGTTTTTTTTTGTTTTGACTGAATTGTTTTTGCTTTACTTTCTGCTCAAAAACCTCTATATTGTAGAGTTTCACTTAAAAAAAAACGAAAATTAATTCCTATCGTTTTTTCCCGAAAACCGTTTAAGTTTTCTTCAAAGCCGATCACAAAACTAAAAGTTCTAAATCGAAAACTCAAAAAAGCATTATTTTCTGATAATTCTTTTTCGTTCCTTTTTAACAATAATGGGGTGTTTCCAGTAGAAAATGACAAAACTAATTTTGCCAGAAATTTCGCTTCATTCATCGGTTTTCAGGGAACTTTAGAAAACCCACTTCAGCTTTTTCAGCTAATTCGAATAATTTTGTTCAATTTTTTACTGAAAGTAATTAGGACCATCTTGAAAAAACGACCAGAGAGCAAACGTTTACAAAAAATCATTGGGGACATTTGCCGCCCTCATTGCTTTGAGGATTTCTAAAGTTCCTTTAAATTTTCAGGTCATTCCAGTTTTAGTAAAGTTTCTATTAAGCAATTCTTTCTAAGCAAAAATCGCATTATTTTTTAGTTTTACTTAAAATACTGACAAACTTAAGGTATTTTCTGTGAAAAATGATAAGATAAATTTTAGTAGAACACTCGCCTCCTTTTGCCGCTTTGCAAAAATGTTTGGAAAACTTTTTGCAGCTTCGAATTCTGTTGTGCAAAAGAGGCCGGAAGACCAGATTCACATTCCAGTCAGATCCGGATTGATGAAGGTTTCCCTCTTTATTATTTTTTTTCTGCTTTTATTTAATTACGCGTATCATTGAAAGCGACCGAATAATCAACTTGATTTTCACACGAGCTCTCGCGTCTATATTTTGCCGCATTTTTAAAAACGCAACCAAATTCTACATTTTAGTATTGAATTTGTTAAAGTAATTGATGAGTAGAGAAATTTGCTTTTAGTAAGAACTGGACCAGTTCACAAATGATGTTTTATATAAAAAAGGGCGCAGTTTAAGGCTCTGTGCGTAGATTACAACTAGAGCCTGATTCAAGAAGATGCCCCAAATCATATTTAAGCTGTAATGGTATACAGTCGCTTTTTCAACAAAGGCATTACCATGACCTTAACATAATTTTTATGAGTTTTATTTCAGTTTAAAGTTTAATGGCTTTAAAAACACACTTTACATGACTCCCCCCCACTCCAGACTTGAAATCTGGATCCGCCCATGGTTGTGCATGTATTTTTATGGGTTACAATGAAAATTAGATAGAAGTTAAGCAATTTTTTGGTGTCTGTTATCAGTAACAGAAATGAACAGGACTAGTTGATATTTAACCACTTTTTGGTCGTCTAATTTTTTGCGGATTTATGTGTGAAGCATCAGATATTTACTTAATGTTCATAAGATAAAACCTTCTAATCCACGGCCAAAGCGACTAGACTGTCAGAAGAGAATAATCCGCAATTCCGTTTTGGCAAATATTTCAGTTTTAAAAGCAAGAAGCTTAAAGGATGGCGATTTTTCAAACACCTGGAAAATAATACTGCTGACTAATTTTAACCAAATGTTGAAGATTCACTGCTCTCAGGACTCTTAAGAAGCTGCAAAATAGTAATGTCTCATGAATAATTCAAATTTAGTTCGCAACAGTTCGCAAATATTGCACTAAGAGTCACTGCATACAGGACTCAAGAAGGTCAAGGATTAAGGCAAGATTTAATCCCAAAGGAACATTTTTCAAGTTCAAAGGCAGATTATTAATTTTCCCAAAAATCCCTCTCTTGCCGTTTTAAAGAAAAAATGTCGAACTGAGCGTTATTTTCATAAAAACATATCGAATCAGTTTGGCACAAATTTCCTAAATTTTCCGTCCCTTGACTTCTCATTCAATCAATTTTCTAACGCAATTTATTTGGACTTATTCATTGATAAATTCTGAGCCATTTATTGGGAGTAACTCTTGCACGTTTGTAGGGCATGACTTGCACTCATCGATCGTTTTTCGAAAATAATTGGCAATTTTACGCAGACAAACACACTGTTTCGAATCTTTCATAGCTCAAACACCGGAAAAATAGTCAACCCACTTTGGGTATACAATTAGGCTTTTAAGGCGGCAGAATCTCCAAAGTCGTGTTGACCTCCTGCAATCTGCACGATTTCCTTCTCAAAAAGGGACAGCAGTATTGACGTTTTTGGGTTTTAGCAGACCACGCAAGATGATTTCCGAATAGAAATCGTGATATTCATCATTCATGAATTGCCACACTTATGCAACCTAACCCAGTTCAGTTCTTCTGGATGGAAATAAATAGTGCTTAAATCTTTTTGCCAATATCTAATTGAAAATGCATCGATATGTAAGAAACGAGGAGTTTCGTGGGTGGTTCTGATATATTCAGATCCACCAGAATAACAAATCTGCAACATGTTCACCTGAAGCGTTTTATGCATAACCACGTTGGATTTCGTGGCGGTCTTCGCCGTAATGAAAGATCCATTCTAACAAACCACCGGTTGTTCGAGCCTAAATTATTGCCAATTTGTGTCAATTACCGGGAAAAAAACTCGAGTTTTGCAATCAATCTGGATGGAATAAGTGTAATTTGCAATCTAGCGCATGTGTGAAATAGTACTATGCAAATTACAGCTTCTAGCTTTGCTTCGGGTAATTGTCGATATAAAATTAAGAGCTATGGCTTATTTATGCATTTGCGGGTGACCGCCAGGTAATTTTATGACGGCATTAAATGTTATTGTTTTATTGCGTGTCGCTTTGGGTTGTCCAATAAATTAGACTAGTTTTTTTCGAATGGAAAATGTATATATGGCAGATAATCTATCGGTTTCAAATTACGGGAGAATAGAAAGTTAGTGAACAATATTTTGCTTAAAAATCATACTGGTTGCCCGTTGCATAAATTTAATTGAGTGAGTGGGATCAAAGGAACAACCAAAGCTTCTAATATCAAAATTAACGCCAGCTAGAACACGGAAAAGTTTACCAATTCGTCTGTAAAAATGCGTCAAGTATGTTGGGATTATTCGGTTGAGCTTCTTTAGATGCTTAATTTTACACAAATAATAAAACTTTGTTTGGCAGATAAAACCATTCATGCTTAAGGATTTGCTTCGTTGAATCAGGACATATTTTCTCTGTTTGCCTTTCCCTAAAAAATGTCTCTTAAGGCTCAATTTCTCTTCTGTTATATTTCCTCTATTTTATTTTTGCAACCTAAGAACGTGAACTGGATCACCGCAAAATATATTACTCTTTAGAACTATTTTGTTTATGTTCAAAATTGGTATTAAGGTAAGATTCGAAGCAAAATAGACTAAACAATGTGGCTTTGTGTACTAATAGTTGGATAATGGATTATTTTAGGGCTTTATGAGCATATGATAATGAACCAAATCGATGGGAGATTTACTATCTTCTAATTACAAGTTATATGAATATGAAAATGTGAATATTTGTTTTAAGCATTAAATGGGCCATTTTGTTCTAGAGCATTGGCACTGTTTAAATTTTAGTTTTTTGAAGTTTCAAATCGGTCACAATTTGCACAATGATTGCACAAATGATCTTTATTTAATTTAAAGCGATAAAAAGGCGAATTTAATGGTTAAAATTGAAATAATAAATTGCTACCTGAAGTTACTTACTGCTTTAAATACTGTACAATTTATTTTTAGGCGTAAATTAATTGTTTTAGTTTCTTAAGTTTCCTTTAAAACAATTGCTCAACACTTAATGATTTTGTTTGTTTCAGTATGCAAATACGTCTGCCACAAGATCTGCGAAAGCAAGGTAAGATTCCAAGAGTATTCTGTACTAAAAGTTCTAAGAAACCATTCAATACAAACTTTTTCCTAAATTGTTTTAAGCGTTGGATTGCAACTAAAATATTATTAGCGGCATTTCTGATGAATTGCAAAGAAAAATGACTTTGATATTCACTTTTACGACCTTCTTTGAAATGGTAGAAAATCGAGTAAAATTTAATGACGAATCAATCTTTAACTAGCGTCCATCTGTAACTAGCATTGCATGTGGAACTAAAACCCTAATTTTTAGTCTTTATAAAACAAGAGAGAGAAACTCAACAGCATGGAAGTGTCTTTCATTCAATAAAATTGGTACATATTCAATTAACTACCATTAAAGATAATGATATCAACTTTACTGTTTAGCGGCAATATTGGACGTTTTAGTAGTTGTTATTGCTCAATCATTGCCGGCCTGTTATTACAGTTCCAGTGATGGGATTTATCTTCTGCCGTTTAGCGGCAATATAAAAGGGTACTTCAGAGATATCTCAAAAATTTACTGAAGAAAATTGCCGCTGTTATTTTCCTCAAGAAGGAAAAAATTCCCTAATTGAACGATCTGGATTGTTCGTTTAGTGGCAACTAGTGTGCATTTGCTTGAATACCGCTTTATTAATAAGTTTGCGTTAAAAAGAGGCCTTTTATTGGAAAATACTTTTACAGAATAAAATACTTTTGAATTCCATCAAAACACAAGTTATTGAAAATTGAAATATTGTGATGCGGCAAAATAAATAAGCGATGACAAATTCAAACCTCTTTCCAACTACCATTCAAAACAGTACTTTCTACAGACCACAAATACTAAAAACCTCATTACTAAAAACTTGGAACCTGTTAGAAGCAAAAGGTGATTTTTTCAATTTTGTCGTCCTTTCGAGATGGTACCGTATCGGCCGTTCTTCCGCTAAAGTGTGAGCACGTAAACAGTTGTGTGGAAAATCAATTACGGTTATCTCGGATCTTATCTAGCATCTAAGATCCATTAGCAAGATAAAGTGTGGTTTATGTAAAAAACAAATTACGATGGTCACGCCTCGGACGGCCAGTGATGGGCTTGCTTTAATTGTGCATCTTGTGTCTTTTACTATAAATTTCCACTGTTTGATTTGCGTCCGCAACTTTTGCGCGAAATTTGAACCCCCTTGACTAATGTTTGAACGATGAATCAAAATAATGGTCTGAACAAAGTCCGCGAATAAGTTTGGAAAGAAAACTTACCCTGTAGTGGAAACTCCCAAGAAAACTCTCTGCCAGCTTTGTTAGGTTTCCATTAAAGTCGCCTTGTTGAAAATCGAGCTTTGTCCGATCCTGAAATGAAACGGAAAGAATGATTCGCATTCCTGCAACTGGCAGGCCGGCAGATAGCAGCCGTCCTTCCTCGACATTAGCAGGGCGAGGTAGACTGCTTGTCTTTGGCAAGAATTTGAAAAAACTGCCCGTTGCTCGTGGTAAATTACCTTTACCTAATAAGTACCGGAGTAATGCAGAAGTAACATTCGTTTAGGTACCGCTTGTCAGTACCGGTGGGTACGAGCATGCAGGATATTGACTTTAATCCGAAAAGATCGGCGGTTCGTGATTTTATGCAGAAATTGTCAGACCTGGTGGAATCTGTGTCATTTTACTGTAACCGAAACTTGGTTGAATAAATGCTGCTCGTTAAGGGACAGAAATATTATTGTCTTTTTTAATCTTCTACATCACACCGGCATTATTCGCTGTCCTTGTGTGTGTTCTTTGCGTAAATTTGCTTGTTTAATGCACATTTATCCCACAAAATGGGGATATGGGTCAAGGACGTTTTCATTGATTAATTAGGTTGTTTACTGAAACAACAGCTACTTTTAATTCCGGATTTTAATGTAGATTATCTGAGAAATCGCAAAAGACTAAAAATCCTCAAAACGATTATTTCATTGCAAAAATTTGCGCTAAGAAATTTTCAAGTTGAAATCGCTCATGCCTGCCGATTTTCCTTTCGTCAAAGATGACTGAGTCCACCCATTATGCAGACTTAGGAGGATAAGATAACATCAATGCCGCAGGAGTTTTCCTAATAATTCATAGCTTTTGGCAATAATAGAGCACGGGCTCGGTTCTGCGGCGTTTCGGATTGGCAGGAACTAATCAGTTCGCATTTTCGGTTTGTTTAGCACGCCAGCGAAGAATCGAGCTCGTATGATAGAAGTGAATGTTTTGGTGTTCAAGTGTCAGAAGAATCGGTGGAACCAAACTGAGATGGTAACAAAGATTTACTTTAAGTGTTATAGAGTGAAAGGTTTGCAGGTTGTTATATTTTTTTGTCTGCTATGCAAGGTTTTCTGTTAACAAATACATGAACTTTTTCTAATTGTTAACTGCAAACCACGCGAATTTGTCATAATTGTGGAATTGAGATCGTCGGAAATTTTTGGGGCTGAAAAAGGTTGAAAATATTCTAAAATTAGTTTTCACCGTCAGGGTTCACAAGTCGCAAAATATTTCTTATCTTGCATAAATTAGGCGCAAATACTTTTACTGCCAATGTTTGATTGATAAAGTGTGCTCATTCGCAAAAATAAAAGCTATTTTGAGTGTTGATTCAGTTATTTGGTTAAATCGATGATTCCTAATTTCGTAAAACATGAAGCGGTAAAATCGTGCTACACAATGCAGACACGTTGGTGGAGGCGCCAACTGAACTCTAAAGCTCTAAAAATCTGAGCTGCGATAGCACAGGTTTTATTTTTTTAGCTCCAAAATTTCTTATAACATCTGGAATCTGGATTTTGCTTGCAGGAATGATGTTGCATTTAAAGCGTTGAAGCAATTGATTTTTCATAGCTAATAAATTGAATAACTCGAATTTCGAATTCAACATTTCCTTTTGTTTCCTGCAGCAAAGTTTCCGAAATTGGCAAATTTCAACCAAATGTTTGGTTCAATTTAGTTTAACTAAAATATGTACGTATTTTTCTTCTAAACTGCTCCACAAAATCATCGTGCTACTGCTAAATTTGGACCAACTTTGAAACTGGATACATTCTGATTGCTGAGCGGATTCGAAATTTTTTGAATTTTTCGCCCAACTTCAGTATCCACTGAGTCTTAAAAAATATAAATTTTAATCTAACATTTATTTAACCCATTTTCAAAATCGAGAGTTCATGTTGAAGCTGAAACTTTGCTGCAACAGAAAAAAAACAATAAACCGGCATGAATTAACAAATATTTTAATGTGAACTTCAGTTGAGTTGAAAGTCTACTAGAGTCACAGATTCTCAGCGCAATTATGATTTGAGTCATTTTTCATTCAACCCGGTAATTCGTAAAGTTTTAGCGTTAAGATGTGCTCTAGATCGTGAAAATCGGACCAAGAGCAGAAAGGTTGCCGCTGCAAAACCAAATTTTTGAGACCACCCTGCAAATGAAGAAGATGGCCAAAAAATGGAAAATCAGTGTCGAGCTGTTTGGTTTATCTTTGAACATTTGGTATTGAAATCCAAAAAAAATTTTTTTTTCCAACTAATGAGCATGCCTAACTTTCAGAAAATTTAGCATTTTTTCATTTATCACCCTGTAGGAAATTTGTCTCAGATGCTACATTTTAACAGAAAACTAATAGGGCTAAATAACGCTTTAAATAGAAGCCAAATCGCTTGAAGCAATCATAATTTATCCAGTTCCAAAGTTTGGGGAAATTTGGCTGTGTAACGTTCATTTGGTTGAACAGTTTTTATATCGAAAATCTTTTGAATTTTTGAAAGTTTATGATCAAGGCATGAACAGAATACAAATTGCAGCCATTTTTAGTTATTACCGAACTTTCAAATTGAGCGACGAATGGGTCAATGAACAATGCTGAAAGTATCATGAAAAATATCAAATCAAGTTGAAAATAAATTACAGAAACGAAATCGGCCGAGAAAATTGCTGTTAAAAAGCATTCAATTTTATTATCGTGATCACGTTTCTTCAATGAAAATATTAGCTTTTTGTGTGTTGTTTTCTTCAGAATATAATTATTTTTACCGCAAAAGAACTGTCCAAATCCAACATCTTCAGACACGACGTTGTTCAAATCGTCCTAGAATCTCGTTTGTAGCTTCGTAAATTACAACCGAAATTGCAATTAATTAATGTAATTTAGTGGAAGACATCGCGCAGAATGGATAACCAGCTATATAAAACAGAAGAAATCCATTTGAAAATGAAGATCGTATTAATTGATAATGTCAAATTTATCGAAAAAACACGGGGAATAAATTGGCACTGCAAGTGTCAAAACAGGTTCATAAATATATGCTGGGATGCCCTTGAAAGAGCCGCCTCCACATTGGCGGCTTTTTCAAAATAAATCGTTAATCTCTGTCAAATTTAATCTACCGAAACAACGGAGTTTCGTGAAGATCCACCAGCCTGGTCTGCCTTGATGCAACGCAGTAATTATGGGTTGATCAATCAGTGGAATTCACCAAGGAACCGAAAATAATGGCCCATAAATAACATGCAAAAAGTTGTTTCTGGGATCTGTTTTAAAGTTATTTAAATAAATATGGAAATATGCACAACTAGACTTGGATGAGAATTTTCAACATTCATTGTCTAGCCTTTCATCGTCAACTCATGCTGTTTATAATAAAATCTATTATGCATTGTCTGATCCTTAAGTTTGTTGCGCCAGAAAACCAATGCGATCAGTTTCATCATCGATTTCCCATTAAAATGTTGCTTCACTTTTGCAGTTGCAATTATTCAAGGAATGCATTCTAAGTACTTTTCGTCTAGTCCTTGCATTCTCGACTTTCACAACCCACTTGTTCCTGAAATCGCTTTGAATTGTTTTTAAATATAGAACAACAATGGCAATCGATAACCGGAACTCACAAGTTCACAAGCCATAAATTTTCCGTGTTGGATGGTGAAAAATATGTGGTTTCTATACATGCAAGAACTAGTGAAAAATTCTCGTCGTGCGTGTCTTTTATAAATATCTCC